ACACACAGTAGTATGAAACTTCAACTGCGTGAAATACACAGCAGTATGAAAATTCGGCTGCGTGAAACACACAAACTTCACGCATGCGTGGAGTGTATGGAGTGTACGGGAGTGATTCACGCAATGGTGCGAATAGTCACGGTCTTATAAATAATTGGAGTTGATACGGGATTTCAGTCATTTTGAATCTTTTTTCAGTTGAACAGCTAATTTCTAAGAATTAAGGAGGATTAGAATTCATGTATGGGATTATATTGAAGATTAGAGAATAAATAATAAAATATTGAGTAGATTGCAAAATCCGTTTTTTAGCTATTTTTGGAGAATTCGGAGTAATAAATTGTCTGAAAAGAGTTTTTTTTGGTGGGAATTCATTGAGATAGAGAGAACGTCTTCGGATATTTTGTAACAAAAAAAAAATGAGCAGAAATTGCGAAATGATTTTCGCCACTATATTTCGAGACCCGCTCCTGCACTCGGGCCTCAAAAAACATTCATATCTTGTCTAACATCTCTGCTATGAACTCTGGAAGTAGAGTTCAGAATTTTTTTTTCTCATTTCTGAGGTATTTTTTCACTCTTTAAAATTAAATTTCAGTCATTCAAATCGTATCGTTTCGTCGGGAGATATTGATGAATGCAGAAGCTTCAATTCTTCATTTTTAAATTTTTTTATATTCAACTATTGTGAATTGAGAGTTCCGGGAAAAATGGGGAGACATTTTTTGTTGTGGAATTCATTCACCCTTTGTTAAAAAATTGAGATTTTTTTAATTTCTGAAGTATTTTTTCCTAAAAAAATTCATTCTAATTTATCTCCAGATTCATACAAAAAAAAATCCATGAATTACCGCAATAGAAAATTGTACACATTAGTAATTGTGCAATAAATATCTCAGAATTAGTTTTCAGAAATTTCAAAATACAAATGGCAGGACAACATATTCTTCATCCAGGAGAATGAAAGATGTTGTCGACATGATGCTTTTCAAAATAGAATTCGTTCAATGTACATCGTGCAGTTTCCTACATGTACATCGTACAAATTCTATTGTAAACTCTCAAATACTGATTCAACCCAGAGTAATCTCTTTGAATATCTTAAAAGCCCGGAAGAATGGGTTCACAGTTCACAATGGACTCATTGAAGGACCAAAAAAAAAATTTCAAAAAACTGCACTCTCTAGAGGTCTTTTGTCGTGATATCTGGAGAGAATACAGGACGTAGAACTTTTTCGTTCTCAAAAGTTTTCTCCTTATAAATTCAGGAGCATGAAGAGTTATCAGGGAGTTTCCCGGTTCTTCAATGAATTCATTGTTCCACATAGGAAAGAATTTCATAGAAAAATTTGGCGAGATCCACAGAAAACTCTGTGGGATTGTATTAAAAATTCTATTAGTTTTTGGCCGATTTATTTGAAAAATTCTGAAATTTTACTGCTTTTTTTATCAAATAGAAGATGTCCAAAACTATTTCATTTAAAAAATCAGTAGAATTTCATTTTTCCATGAAACTTTTTTTATTGAGACATTTCCTACAGTAATTCCTCGATATGAATTTTCTAAGCTTTTTCCACTCTATTTTTTTTTCTCTTTTAAATTTAAAAAAAAATTAGAAAATTTAAGCCGTGGAATTGCTATAGAAAATATCTCAATAGAATAATTTGCATCGAAAAATCGAATTCTGTTATATCTTTCTATAGAATATTTTCCATTGAGCAAAAACTAATGGAAATAGAAATCCAACAGAATTTTCTACTGAATTCGCTAAATTCTCACATCCCTTATGCTCCACAAAAAAATCCTTAATTTTGCTCGTTTTATTTTCCAGATCGATGATGATTTCATGGCTAGATACCAGATGAGCTACGGTTTCACAGATCCAAACGCGCGTCCTCCCTCTCCTCCAGCACGAAAACCAGATGAAAAATCGAAGAAAGAAGCTGAAAAGGAATTGAAAAAGGCCGAAGCGAAGAGAAAAGCCGCTGAGCCACCAACTTGGTTCGAGGTGGATGAGGCGCACAATACAGCAATCTACATATCTGGGTTACCGCTCGATATTACGATGGATGAACTGATTGAACTTGTTGGAAAGTGTGGTCTTGTTGCACGAGACGACAAGAATAAAGACAAAATCAAAATGTACAGGGACTCGGAGGGTAATCCAAAGGGAGATGCATTGTGCACGTACATCAAGGTGAGTTTAATTTAATTTTACAGTTTCGTTTCTACAGGCGATAAACATTACATTGACATTGACATTGACATTGGGGTGGGTTTCAACGATATGTACAGGCAAAGCGTTCCTTGTCCTAGAATAAGGAGATTTCTAGATGTTTTTTTTTTTGAAGAATTCATAAGTAACAGGTTTTTGTGTTTGACATTCTCAGACATTTTGGGGAATTTACGTCATTTCAATTGTTGAAGAACTTAATCATATAGTTCCAATGAAATTTCAAGGAATTTCATCATTTGAAATTCAAAACTTTCTGGAAATATCAATGGAAAGGTGAGATTTGAGCTCATTTATTCCATGAAAATTTATTAAGCAGGAAAATTCATGTAAATATATTCATGAATTTTTAATTAAAAATATCCGAGTCCTGTAGTCTATTTTTTTCCAGTGAAATGTTTTTCTACTTTGTTAGTAGAATGATTTTATTTTTTAAACTTTGCAAGACTGAATTTGAATTTCGATATTGAACCGTTACAAAACATTATAAAAATCTATAAAAAAATTATAAAATTTAGTTTTGGAGGAATATTGATCAAATGATTAGAAAATTACAATTTTTGAAAATTACGAGCATTTTTTATGAATAATTTGTAAACAATCAATTTTCTACCATAAATATTCATATTCAGAATTTTACCAGAACTCGATTTTATGCCTAAAAAAACAAGGTTTCCGAAAGTTAAAAAAATGCCAATTATTTATTTATGAACCACGAATGGTTAAAAAAATAAAAATTGTATGCAAAATGTCTTAATTGAAAATTGTGTGTAATTTGATACAGAATGTTCTTGTTTTTACTGAAAATTTAAGTGATTTGAGGAATTCTAGTTTCTTCGCTGCTCAAAAATCTGGAATTTCGTTGAATTTTCAGTGGAATTATTCCTATAGTCAACTCTATATTCGTTACATTGCACTCTGCAATAATTTTTCATCGAAAATACTCATCTCCTTATTCAAATCAACTAAAAAACCCCTAAAAACTATATCGACGAGTAATAGCATTAATAAAATCTCTAAAAGTAATGAAAATTAGACTCCAGGACTTGGATTGGCAATAAAAAAATACAGCTGATAAGGAAATATTCCACCGTTCTTTAAAGAATCCATAGTTTGAAATTCTTTATGTTTGATATTCCCAGACACTCGAAGAATTTACGACATTCCGAGGGCGGAGTGAATAATAAAGTCTCATGATACTCGATTATTCAACAGAATCAAGATAGATGGCTCGCAAATATTTATCTTTCACCACATGTGATCGTAAATCCGTCATCGATGTTATTATTCCAGTCTTGAAATTTCAATCCACAAATTGCAATACTTTTTCATCAAAAACACACTCATCTCCTCATCCAAATCAGCTAAAAACCGTTAAAACTATCTCGGTGAATGATAATATTAATGAAATCCATGAAAATTAATGAAAATTAGAATCTAAGACTTGGATTTGCAATACAAAAATACAGTTAAAGCTAGAATTATAATAAAAAATATATCGCGCACTCAGGAGAAATAGTTACATTGAAAGAGAGCAACGAAGTAATAAATTCTTCTGTTGGTTTTAATCTTCGCACACAGAGTTCTTGAACACTCATCTAGGAGAGAATAGAGAATTACGATGGAAGTTTTTTAAGTGCATTTTTCCTCCCCAATGGGACGTGGGGTTGCTCAAGTTTTTAGCAGCACTTCCTCCAGGGACAAATCGTTGATCTTCGCGTGATAGTGGGAGAGGGTTTTTTCGTCTGACAGTGCCTTGGGGCGTCCACCAACTGGGCCATCGCCCAGAAATGCTCCGTACTCGCGTCCCTGCGGTACTATCTGCGTTATTTGGGGCCGTTTTTCATGCCACCTGTTTCGATTGTTTCGATGACGAGTCCTGTTCGTTCGCATTTCCGGCGATGGTTTGGGTCTAGATGGAGAAGGAATTCACATGATTGGATTAAATTTCGGTGATTGTGACCTTGAGTCAATAAAAAAAATTCTTGGATGAATGGGAATTAATTGAAATTCATGGTACTATTTAACGAGCGAAAAACAAGACAATCAAACTGTGATTTTATTTTTAATTGACGAATGTCATAAAATTCTCTCATTCCATCTGCACATTGAGAGGATATAGAATGTTTCATTTGAAAATTGAAAATTTCCAAACTTTAATAATAAAGTCAGTAAAAATCTGATCTGATGCAGAAAATTTTGGTAATATTCAGGGTTGCTATCACATCGTCAATGTTATCCTCTTTCGCTCGACATTTTTCATCTCTAACAGAAACAAATTAAACCCCCAATCCCCCTTCGTTGATTAAAGCCCCTACGGGTGGAAAATGAAAATATAATCCACTCAGAACGAATTGAAAATCCTAATCTCATTCAAAGAGCGAAAAACAGACCTATCCAACTATGATTTTATTTTTAATCGACGAATGTCATAAGATTCTCTCACTTCATCTGCACATTGAGTAGATAAAGAATGTTTCATTGAAAAATTAAAAATTTTCAAACTTGAATAATAAGATTAGTCAATGAATTATGGGGATTGTTGTCTGATCAAAAAATTTGATGTGATGCAGAAAATTTTGGTAATACTGAGGGTCGCTATCGTCATTGTTATCCTCTTTCGCTCGACATTTTTCATCTCTAACAGAAACAAATTAAACCCCCAATCCCCCTTCTTTGATTAAAGCCCTAATGGGTGGAAAATGAAAATATAATCCACTCAGAACAAATTGAAAATTCTAATCTCATTCAACGAGTGAAAAACAGAACTATCAAACTGTGATTTTATTTGCAATTGGCGAATGTCAGAAGCTCCTCTCACTTAAAGAATGTTTCATTTTTTAATTAAAAATTTTTCACTCGTTATTTTTCATCTCCAACGAGGACAATTAAAGCCCCAACAAGTGAAAAATGAAAATAAAAGCCACTGATTTCAGTGATAATTGACGCATGCCATAAATTTCCTATTCCGCATTTAATCTGTACTCACTCAGCCAACGGCCTTGACCCGAGTTTAACCCCGTGTGCCCACTCCTGATTGTCAGTGGCCACCCAATCCTTGTTCCACGCAGTTTCCACTCGTCCCCTCCTGTGCGCCCTCAAGTCATTCTTTCCTTTCCTCCTCTTCTTCCCCTTCTTCTTCGGTCTCAATCTTTGGCTCTGGGGTACCAGCTCCGTTGGAATCGTCTTCTTTCTCCTCCGTCCTGCAAATGTTCACTCATTCATTATTTATTCCCCTTTGACATGCATCTTCGATGCTGATTTCGATGTTGCATCCCGAGAAAATCTCGTTACCTATTCGTCCAGCGGGAACTTCACATATGTAGTGCTTCTTGTCGAGACAACTCCTCGGTGTCCATTTGTACTTGACTGATGGATCGAGAACTATGCAGTGCCATGTATACTCCGCAGGATTTTTACTCAATGCACCAGCGAAATTCTGGAATATTATTTTTTCACCCTTCACACCCCAATGCCAGGCCATTTGCTGCCAATTATACATCCCGCCGATCCACCTCTCGAGCCGGGCTGCAATGAGATATTGCATTTGGTGTAATTAATCCCAATATAGTGCATTTTTATGGGATGAAGGAGAGGAGGGGAAAAAATGGGAATGCTCTGTCTATTCTCGTTGTTTCGTTGGATACGGCAGTCTTGTCTGGCACACGTCTTTAAAATTTTTATCATTTATTTTGAATTTTTTCGTTCCATGGTCATTTCAAGGAATTTCGTCATTGGAAATTCAAAATTTTGTGGAGAAATTAATGGCAACTGTAAATTTCAATTCAATGGAAATTAATGAAAATGAGGAAAATTCAGGTAAACATCTTGAATTTTTAATTAATTTTCGATTCAGTGTAATTTGGTACTGCATATTCATCATGTGATTGACATTTCACGCAAGTTGAAGAATTCTCGTGTTCAAAATTCGCAATTGTGTTGAACTTTTACTGAAACATGAAATTTCATAATTTGTCCCCCTACATCGGATTCAATGTCCCTCTCCTGAAAATAACCAGTCAATTTTTCCAGGGAATTTCAATTTTCTCCCAACAGTGCAGATCAACTGTAATTAATCCTCATATAGTTCATATTTTAACGCAATAAAGAGAGCAAAAAGGAGAAATGGACCGTTCTGTCTGTTTTCATTATTTCATTGGGCATGAAAATCTCGTTGGAGGATTATTAATTCTGGGTTGTGTGAAGCTACAACAGGATGCCACATTAACTAATGAAGCTTCCCACGCCATGAAAATTCGATGATTATGAAGGGAGTGAAAATGTTATTCCACGTATTTCCATTCGTAGCAACAACTTCACTCGTAAATTATAAATTCCTTCGCATTGAACTGCATAAAACTTGAAAGATTGTGAACGGCATTCGCGTCACCTCAACGTGATAATCTCCCTCGTAAAATCTAATGCTTTGAATTACCATATTTATTTCGCAATTCAGAAACTCTGGGTTATCATTTTAAGATGAAAAAATAGTCAAGCGGATTTAAAGTCTTCGCAGTTTTGAGTTAATGAACTTTGGAATGAAACTTGGTCAAGAATAATGGGATGGTGGGGAGCAGTTCGTGAGGAGCAGATCCAGAAAGTGAAGAGTATTTGCAAAAGTCCAGGGATTTTTATTCTTTTCGCTGAACAATGAGATCTACTTACTGAATTGTTCGCCCATGAGATACTTTCTGAGTATTCGATCCTTTCCATTCTTATCGAGTTCCGCCAATGTTGAGTTTCTGTCTTTACAGTGGAAGTAAGCATCCCTCCATTGGGCAATTCCAGCACTCAGGTAATAACAATTTCTCTTGAGTCTGAAGAATCCAACGGGGCATGCAAATCTACGTACTCCGGTGAAATCTTTTTCGTTGTTTTCATGATTACCTGGGGGTAGATTTATACTGTTTGGTTGGGCTTCAACTAGGATTCCGGCTGAGATACCTTGAACAGATCAATTTATTGTGGGATAAATGAAATGAATTTCTGTAACAAACAGTTCATGCTTGAAGGAATTTAGGGATATCCGAGTAGTTGGGGCAATTTTATTCGAGGGGAAATCCTCTTCAGAGTTTATTTATAGGAAAACGATTTTGAAGAAGTAAAATTTAACAAATTGCACACGTAAATCAACCATTTGTCACTGAAGAAGTTGTAAGAAATCCATTTCGTACAGGAGAAAAATCACATTATTAATTCCTGCGAAGAGAATTCATATTGCTGATGTCATATTTAAAAAAAATTTTCCTCACACAATGCGATCGCAAAATTGGATGACTCACCATCAAATTACTCATTAACTCTGTTATTTATATTGAATATTACACATCCCTCAAAATTAAAATTGAATTTTTATTAAATTTCCGTTTAGTTCAATAATTCCCCAGTACAAAAAGCACCTGAAATCCCACACAAATTAATTGCCTCCAATCGTTTCAATAATTCTCACTCAAAATTTCATCTCGAATTTTCTATCCTTCAAACATAAAATGTCCCATTAAAAACCCCGAAACCCCAATTTTATTTGCCACTTTTATTTGACGGGAGTGTCAAAGTATTTTTATTTGATTTTTTCTAATTATTCTAATGTCACATTTTTTTAAAAATTTTCTGATACAATTCGATCGCTAAATCGGATGACTCACCATCAAATTACTCATCAACTCTTTTATTTATATTGAATATTACACATCCCTCAAAATTAAAATTGAATTTTAATTAAATTTCCGTTCATTTCAATAATTTTCCAGTACCAAAAGCTATTGGAATCCCACACAAATTAATTGCCTCCAATCGTTTCAATAATTCTCACTCAAAATTTCATCTCGAATTTTCTATCCTTCAAACATGAAATGTCCGATTAAAAACCCCGAAACCCCAATTTTATTTGCCACTTTTATTTGACGGGAGTGTCAAAGTATTTTTATTTGATTTTTTCTAATTATTCTAATGTCACATTTTTTAAAAATTTTCCTGATACAATTCGATCGCTAAATCGGATGACTCACCATCAAATTACTCATCAACTCTTTTATTTATATTGAATATTACACATCCCTCAAAATTAAAATTGAATTTTAATTAAATTTCCGTTCATTTCAATAATTTTCCAGTACCAAAAGCTATTGGAATCCCACACAAATTAATTGCCTCCAATCGTTTCAATAATTCTCACTTGAAATTTCATCTCGAATTCTCTATCCTTCAACCATAAAATGTCCCATTAAAAACCCCGAAACCCCAATTTTATTTGCCACTTTTATTTGACGCGAGTGTCAAAGTATTTTTATTTGATTTTTTCTAATTATTCTAATGTCACATTTTTTAAAAATTTTCCTGATACAATTCGATCGCTAAATCGGATGACTCACCATCAAATTACTCATCAACTCTTTTATTTATATTCAATATTAAACATCCCTCAAAATTAAAATTGAATTTTCATTAAATTTCCGTTTAGTTCAATAATTCCCCAGTACAAAAAGCACCTGAAATCCCACACAAATTAATTGCCTCCAATCGTTTCAATAATTCTCACTCAAAATTTCATCTCGAATTTTCTATCCTTCAAACATAAAATGTCCCATTAAAAACCCCGAAACCCCAATTTTATTTGCCACTTTTATTTGACGGGAGTGTCAAAGTATTTTTATTTGATTTTTTCTAATTATTCTAATGTCACATTTTTTAAAAATTTTCCTGATACAATTCGATCGCTAAATCGGATGACTCACCATCAAATTACTCATCAACTCTTTTATTTATATTGAATATTACACATCCCTCAAAATTAAAATTGAATTTTAATTAAATTTCCGTTCATTTCAATAATTTTCCAGTACCAAAAGCTATTGGAATCCCACACAAATTAATTGCCTCCAATCGTTTCAATAATTCTCACTCAAAATTTCATCTCGAATTTTCTATCCTTCAAACATAAAATGTCCCATTAAAAACCCCGAAACCCCAATTTTATTTGCCACTTTTATTTGACGGGAGTGTCAAAGTATTTTTATTTGATTTTTTCTAATTATTCTAATGTCACATTTTTTAAAAATTTTCCTGATACAATTCGATCGCTAAATCGGATGACTCACCATCAAATCACTCATCAACTCTTTTATTTGTATTCAATATTAAACATCCCTCAAAATTAAAATTGAATTTTCATTAAATTTCCGTTTAGTTCAATAATTCCCCAGTACAAAAAGCACCTGAAATCCCACACAAATTAATTGCCTCCAATCGTTTCAATAATTCTCACTCAAAATTTCATCTCGAATTTTCTATCCTTCAAACATGAAATGTCCGATTAAAAACCGCCATTAAAATATGACAACGTGGCCAGAGAATGTATGCAGACAGCCCCATTACTAGTTACAGTGCCAATCAGCATAACTCCCCCTAAAATTTGCATTGAATACTCCTCCAACGAATTCTTCGAGTAAAGCCCAACGGCATCTTGACCAAATTTATTACACCCATTTCTATTTACGTTTTTGTTTACCAGTTTATCGGATTCTATTAAACTTTTGAAACTGTTGGATGTAATAAACACACTCGGTCTAGTATGTGGCCTCATAAATAGCTGTTTGAGATAGACAGAAGCTTCATGCCACTGATAAATACCAGAAACCATTAACCCACCAGTCTTTACTACCGGGACTCATTTTGCTGGGAGCGCACTGTGTGAAATAAGTCTTATATTTTTGTTAGGTAGTCGAAGTGGGTGGGAATACGTTGGAATAAAGCCAAATGTAGTCATATCCGAGGTGTACGTCACATTTAATTCTCTTACTGGACAGGACGCGCGCTTATCCATCACCTCATTTACTTGTGATGAAGCCTCCTTTCCTTCATTCAAATTTTATAAATATTAAATTTTATAGACTCAAATGTATTATAAAAATGAATAATACGTAGAAAAAAAACCTCGATCGATGATACAGATGAATGTACGTGGAAGATTAGTGAATAGTTTTGAATCTTTTATCAATTCCCGCTCACTTTTCGGAGATAACGGATCAGTACCCAAAAATTTTGAGAAATATTCAATCGTTCATAGATTCACTGTTAGAAATTTTTCGAAATTTTATAGAAAATATGGTATTACTTCCCATGAGAGCGACATTGAATGCAATTTAGGGGGAAAATAGTTATGAAATTTCAAGTTTTAGGTAGAATTCAAAAAAATTCATGAGTTTTTCGTGAAAGTGAGAAGGAAATTCCACAACTTGATTGAATTTTTATGGAATATGAATACTCGGAAAGAAAATCATGAATTTTTAATTTTTCCCTGAATTTGCCCAATTTTTCTGAATTTTCACGGAATAATTGAGCTGAACAATCAAGTATTTTAGTGATTTTCAGATCATTCGAACAGAAAATTAATGGCATATTTGATTTCTCAATGACAAAATTTCCTGAAATTTCAGTGGAAATCAAACATGATAAACATTTCCGAGATTGGACACGGGAAATTGAAATGAAAATTTTTAACAGTTTAGGATGTACTTCATTTCGTTCAAATGGAATAAAGGGAAAAATTCCGTTATAATGTGCAAAATTACTATAGATATTCGGCTCCACCTCAATTGATCATGAAATTTAATGATGCATTGTGACGACCGCAGAATGCACCATCATGTTTTCATCAGTGCTGGATGTAATGAGAGTAATTGATTGAATAGTTGACAATGTTGGGGACAGATTCAACAATTGTGACCTTCGATCATTTGAATGGTCAAAAGTGAACGACTGGAGTTGCGTTTATGCAGTTCGAGATGCTGGCAACATTCTCACGAATTACTTTACATTGCCGTCTCCATTTTATGAGTTTAAAAATTCGACGGATTTAAATTCTACTCAAATAGAGGAGAGTCGGGCAAAATGGGACGTTTCGTGATCTTCTTTAATTGTCCATATCTCCATTTATAAATGAACATGTTGGCAATAGGAAAAGTTCTCATTACGTCCTATTTTGCCCGACTCTCTCCTACTTAAAAAATATTTAAGGAATAAAGTCAGTTGAATTGCTGTAGATCCTACCAAATCCACTCCATTTTTCACTCTGGAAAGTTATTTTGAGGAGCTTTGAATGACAAACCCCTCACACGAAATTGATAGGTCTTCTTATCCTTGAATCCTTCGGAAACTCGCGGGATAAATAAATTTTACCCATTAGTATGCCATCCCACTAATATTCTTTTCTCTCAAACGGAAAATTCCCTTCACTCTAAACCCAGAATTTTTATACTTCTCTAACTAATTCAGAGAATTTGCAGGTGATTCTCTCAAGAACCCAGGGAAATTCCATTATGATCTCAAGAAAAAAACTCATTCAGTCCCAGTAGTTTTCAAAATACAGCTGGAAGCCTTTTCATTAAATAAAATAAATTAATTCCGGAATTTACAAAAAGTTTTCTCTATTAAATGTGAGGGATGTTTTAAATCTGCATGACGTGTACTTCGTCGAGAGCTCAATAGCGCATTCACCGTTAAAAAAATCGTATTCCACAATTGCATTTCCCAAATTAAAAAACCGTTGATCAATCGGTCCACACAGCCGACCCCCAAAATTCCTGGAATAATCCCTTAATCCAATAAAATTAAAGCCCCCGGATGCACCTAGATACAAACCAGTGACAAATAAAATTATTGGCAATTCAGCCGATACCCATTGTAAATCGTGACATGGCAAAAGCAAACGCGCTAGAGGGGTGGACAAATCCAAAGCAATTGGAAGCTCCTGTGACACATGTGGGTCACGTTTCGTTATTACTTCTCAGTCAATATTGTTTGGGTGGACAACAGAATTTGTAGTAATTCGAGATTACTTCATTTGTCAATGCCTCAAAGCCCGGACGGGCCAGCTGTCTGTTATTAAGGAATTCAGCGATGGGAAATGGTAGGGAAGAGTATTTGAAAATTATCGGTTTAGCTCC